GCCCTTGGCCTTGTTGAACCTCATCCAGCAGATCTCAGCCCGTGGATCCAACCTGTCCAGATCCCTCCGTGGAGCCTCCAACCCTCCCCCCATCTGGTTGTCTCAGAATGTCACTGAGGGTGCCTCAAACCTGCCCGTGCTCCCCAAGATTCAGGCCAAAGGTGCCTTTGATTTTTGGCTGAGGAGAGGGTTTGAACACGAGGCGTTCATGTCCCAGCCTCAAACTCAGCACCCAGAGCTGGATCTGTGTTTGCCAAGGGTTTTATCCATCCTTTCTTTCAGGTGAGCAGCCCCTCTGGAGGCAGCGTGGACGCTGTAGTCATCTTGGAGAAGACCCCATTCCATGAGGAGAAGCTCTCAGACCTGCTGAAGAAGCACACGAAGCTGGAGCTGCAGATGCACAACGACATCTACAGCACCTACCACCTCTACCCTCCCCCAGAGCTGAGTGGTGAGGGCTTTGGTGGCCTGGGAGGGATTTTGGGGGGCTGCCTCTTTTCACCCCCTTTCCCCCCCACACTTAGCCAGCCATTAAATAGCTGTTGCTTGATTATTTGCCATCATCTGCCTTGGTTTGAAGGTCAGGGAGGGCTTGGACACCTAAAATCTTTCCTCTTGTGAGGCCATCTGCTTGATTAATTACATCCCAACACTTCCCTAAGCACAGATTAGCTCAGACAGGTTGAACAAAGAGCAGATTTAGCCAAGTGATACCCTTAAATGAGTTGTTGTGGGCCTGAATGAAATTTTTTGGGCTGTTTCATCTCCTCTTCTCCAAAATGCTGCTATTTTCATGCTGTTCCCATGGTGGAGGAGGATTCCCACGAGGTGGCATTGCAAGACTAAAATCCCCTGGGCCTCTTGCCAGCTGCAGCCCTGCTGGTTTTGAATCCCTTGTCGTGCATTCCTGAACTGCAGCTTTTGACTCTGGTAACAACATTTTTTATTTACTTGATGCTTTATTTTGGGCTCAGAACCCCCCATGGGGTTGAAAACACTGATAAAATGTCCCCAGCCCCTGTCAGGGCCCCTCTAGGTCTTGTGTTTTTTTGAGAAGCTGGAGCAAAATCAGGTGGATTTGGGTCCTCTCACGTTCCTGTGCTGAATGGGAGGAGGAAAAAAGCTTCTGCTGAAGTTTCTCTCTTGAATCCCCTTTAAAAATTCCCTTTAAAAGGTCGATTTTGGTGGAAATGTTACCTAGTGGTGCCTCTCTGCTTCCCAGCCCTCTGCTTGATGTCTCCGTGGCCTGCTTGGAGGGTGGAGCAGGAGATCTGGGGGATCTTCAACCCCAGTGCTGCTCTCCAGGCTCCCTCAAACTGCTTCCAAAAAAAGTGGAAGGTCTTAGCTGCTGGTTCTTGCAGGTTTAACATGATGGAGCCAAAGTAGAAGAGGTCCAGCTTGGGCTTGAAGCTCTTCCTCCAAAAAATCCTGGGTGGTGGTGGGGATTTCAGAGCATCTTGGGTGGCTGAGCCCCCAAACTTCTCCTTTCCAGCAGGTCAGATAAACCTCCAGCCCGAGGAGATCGTGTCCACGGGTGACTGGTGAGGTGGTGACAACATCAGGAGGTCCCTCAAAGCTCATCTCTCAATGACACCTTTGAGGGCTGAAGTCCCCTGAGGGCTTTTCCTTCACTGGAGGTTTTTTTGGCAGCTGGACGTGGGGATTTTCTTCCTCATCTTTGTCCTTTGGGCTCTGAGTCAGGAGCTGATTTAAAGGGGCCACTTGCTGGTTCTTGCCTAGATTTAAGAGACACCACCAGGCTGTGGTGGTCACCACCTCCAGGGTGGAGCAGGTCCTGCTGCAGGCCCTGCTCTTTTGGGGGGGTGAAATCAAACTGGGGGAAGGTTCAGCTGGAGGCTGGAAAGGTCTTTGGGCCTTTTTGGTTTCTCCCCAAATGAGGAACCTTCCACGTGTGGTCTCCACTCTCCTCTTCTAGTGCTGTCTTTCCAAAAGGAGTTATGTGGTGTTGACTGGAAGGAGAACCAAGGTTTTTTTGGGGACAGAAGGATGTGAAGTGGGTTTTCTCTGTGACCATAACTCCATGAACATCTTTGCTTCCAGAGATTAAAACCACAGTGGTGTACCCAGCCACAGAGAAACACCTCCAGAAGTATCTCCGACAAGATGTCCACCTCATCCAGGAGACCTGGGAGGACTACAGGGACATAACCCTGCCCTTCCTCCAGTCCCAGAGCTTCAGCCTCCAGGTATCCACCCCCTCTGTGGAGATGGGGGGCTCTGGTCTCCTGCTTCAACCCCTTGGGCTGTCAGATGTCTCCTCAGAAGCCCGGGTTGGAGGCAGGAGAGTCAGGAGTGCTCTGCCCCTGTCTCCTTGTTGGTTGGCCCAGCACTGCCCCTCAGCACCACATCTCCAGGGCTTGGAAAGCCCTCCAGGGGTGGGGACTTCACCACTGCCCTGGACAACCATTTGGATGAAGAACTTGTTCCTCAGGTCCAACCTCAACCTCCCCTGGGGCAACTTGAGGCTGTTTCCTCTTGTCTTGTCCCTTTGGAGCAGAGCCTGACTTGGCTCCCGGCTCCTCTCAAGAGTCCCCTGAGCCTCCTTTGCTCCAGGCTCAGCACCCCCAGCCCCCTCAGCTGCTCCCCCCTACACTTGGGCTCTGGACCCTTCCCCAGCAGCTTTGTTTTCCTTCTCTAGCCACGCTCCAGCCTCTTAACGGTCCTTCTTGGAGTGAGGGTCCCAAAACTGACCCCAGGATTTGAGGGGTGGCCTCCCCTGTGCCCAGTCCCTCTGTGGAGCCTCCAGCAGATCCACACTCCCACCCATCTGGCTGCTCAGACACCCCCTGAGGGCACCTCAGCCCCCTCCCCCAGATCACTGATGAAGAGATGGAAGAAAACAGGCCCCAAAACTGAACCCTGGGGACACCCCAGCTGGATTTATCTCCATCCCCACCACCCTGTGGGCAGGAAGGACAACGTGGAGAGTGACAGGAACACGGGGTCACTGCAGCAGCCTCTGGGGTTCCTGCTGGAGGACACGAAGCCTTGGGGGCTATCAGGGGAAGAGTTGTATGGTGGAGCTGCTCTCTGGACAGGGGTTGTCCTCTCTGGGCTTGTGCTGGAAGCCACAAGAGCAGTCAGCTGCTGAGCTGCCCATCACATGAGGGTTTAGAATTGAGCTCATCTGACCAGGGGAGTTGTTTGTTGTGAATTGAGCAGGGATTCCAAAAAAAAAGTCCCTGAGGGGCAAAGCTTCATTTCCTGTGGAGCTTTTCTGCCAGGGCCTCCGAGCACAGGGAGCTCACCAAAACCTCCTGCAGAACCTCATCTTCTCCTAAAACCTTGCTAGGAGGAGAAAACACAGACATTGAAGTGAAAAAACCAAGGAGGAGAGGTTGGTTCCTCCCAGGTCCATCCCCAACGGTCCCAAGTTGGGATCCAATGAGTGAAACTCTTGACAGAACTCCCCCCAAAGTTCTGTCTTCTCACCCAGCTTGCCCAGAGGACGTTATGGATCCTACCAACCCTGTCACCATCACAACCTCAAGTCGTTGAGGTGGGTTTGGACGTGTCTGAGATGTTGGGGTTTGGTTTCTTCCCTCTCTCAGTGGGTCTACAACATCCTGGAGAAGAAAGCTGAGGCTGATCGGATCATCCATGAAAACCCAGATCCTGCCAATGGCTTCATCCTGGTCCCAGATCTGAAGTGGGATCAAAACCAGGTGGGTTTGCTCCTCTTGGCTTTGGCAGGCTGGAGGTGATCCAGAAGATCCAGAAGGCTCAGGACGGACCACATCCATCTTGTCCACCTTCAAGGGAGGAGATCAGGATCTCCTCCAGGTGCTGATGGTGGTCCCCAAGGTTGGGGGATGGATTTAGCACCTCCTCTCTCCCCCTCTAGCAGCCCAAAGGTTGTCACTGCAATTAGTTCACCCCTAATGAAGCTTCTGGATCCCCTTGGAGGTGCCTCCACCTGGAGTTACCTCAGGGTGGTGGATGGGAGGAAGGTTCCTCATTTTCACCTGGAAGTTGGCATCTGACTCAACCTTCTGGGTGCTGCTTCATCTTGATATTTTTGAGTTGGTTTCTTGGTTTTCTTGAACTTTTTACAATATTTTTGGTGTTTTTTTTGGGTGTGGCTTCATTTTTTCATCCTCCTTTTCCAGCTTCAAACCCTCAGGAGCCCCTGAGGCATCTCCTGAAGCTCTGCCCAACGTGACATCACCCGGGGCCTTTGGAGTTTCTTCCTTTGAGTTTTGGGCTTCTTGGTTTCAAACGTTTTGGGGAGGATGTTTTGAGATGTTGTTGGGAGGAGAAGAGCTTTCTTCCCACCAGCCAGCTCTGCTCCACAGAGGACCAGCCCATCTGCTGCCTGGTTTTAGCTTAGAAAGCCACTCACTGAGCTGGAGAACTTGGAGATATTGGTTTATTTGGCTTTTTTTCTTCATTTTTAAAGCCTAATGATCCAAAGTCTAATGATCTAAAGATCTAATGACCTACAACACAATGTCTTGTGCTCCCTCAGCACCACATCTCCAAGGCTTTGAAAGCCCTCCAGGGGTGGGGACTCCACCACTGCCCTGGGCAACCATTTGGAGGAAGAAACTGTTCCTCAGCTCCAACCTCAACCTCCCCTGGGGCAACTTGAGGCTGTTTCCTCTTGTCCCTCAGG